AGAGAGGAGAAATCAATCTACATATAAAATATTGGTCACAGATTAGTGGTCACTTTCTAAATAAAAGTATAGCACATCCACTAGTAATTATATATAAATAAATAATTTTTTACCGATGCAAATATGTTAGAAATGATGCATCGCGATATAAATGACAACTTGTAGCCGATGCACACTTTTTAAACCGATGCATCGCATCGTTAACTTTTTATGCCGACGCACTGAGCGAATCGGGGAATCTTCCATCCCTAATATACAGTATATACACAAACATATATGTATGTATGTGTGTGTGTATATCAGTCTGGCGAGTAAACTAAAAAATTTACTAGCCAACGGCGATTATATTGCCAAGGTGTGAGTAGAGGGTTGTCATTACATGCATAGACATGAAAAGACACAGGTTACACGCGTCATTTTAGCGTAAACCACTCGAAGCACAAAGCAGTGTCCGTCTAGGGCTAGATGAGGTTTAGAGGGATTACGGCAGCCGTTTCAGGTCCAATGGCATTTTAACAGACTGTCTGTTGACATCACGGTGATGCACAATGCCTGGTAACCATGACAACCTCTGCCGCAGGCCCGGGGTGGGCTGACCCTGACTGAGAAGTAATGTCAGGAACAAGCAAAAATCCACGTAGGAGACATGTCACGCTCGGACGAGATCTGGCGATGTGCAAACCACCACATAAGACCACCCAGAGATAAACAACGTAACATTTATTTTCTGTATGTGGCGTTTCCCATTTAGTGGCAGAGATCTTTACTAAAGCTTGTTATAGCCTTGTGGAATAAATCTGCGTATGCAGACAGGCGTAAGGACGCCCGAAAGACACTAAAACCCAGACGGACGTAAAGCTACGTGGCAGCAAGGCCTCTTAAGCAGGCTAAAGCTCCAGGGCCCAGCTGTCACTCAGCCGGTCGCCATGACAACAGGCCCTGCACAGTGCAGGGGACAGCGCCATGGCAACGGGACGGAGCTCCGCATTTAAAGAGAAACGCACTGCTTTCATTCAAGCACATGCTGCAGAGGGGAGGGCTCTGCTGTACGGCACGTGTTGTCAAATCTATTAGACGTTTAACACTTGCGTTTCCTGCACTGAAACTAACAAGATGTAGGAAAAATGTTATGAATAGTAACAAGAGTGCAAGATGTGCTTACTGGCACTACAAATACAAAACTGTATACCAAAAAAAAAAATAAACTCAATTCTCAATGCAATTCAGCATTTTCTTCTAGGGACAGTAGACCAAAAAAATTTAAATGGTCTCACTGGCTCAACCTTTTGTTGTTTTTAAATGTTTTTGTTTTTTTTCCCTTACAAAATGTGTACAAAATTTCATTCCTCACACAAAGGTATATATGTTTTCAGAAGACTTGGGGTGCACAAGTCATACAGATCACTTATATGGTGCTTTATTGTCAGTTTTGGAGCTCAACATCTCCAGTCCTCATCCACTTCCATTGTTTGGAAAAGACCAACTGCTACATAACTTATGTTCCACTGTGTAATTACTTTGTAAGGACCACGCACTTGGCCCAAGGAAGGTATCCAGTGGTGGCTGAAGGTTTCTTGCGTGTTCGGTCTTTTCAGCACGCAAAGTTATTTAATTTAAGTTAAATTGTAATCTGACTAAGTAAGTCAGGTAACAGACGTTTATGGACATTATCAGAAAAAAATGACAAATGATAAACCTAGTACGTTGCAAAAAATATTTTACATAGCCCCATAGTCACCATACAGGTCTTTTTGCATGCAAG